AATCAGCCGTTCGAACGAATCAATTGAATGAATGATTCAGTGTTAAAATCAGTGACTTGACGCCACCTGCTGGCAGTTTAGTTTCATTTTTAAAGTATCTTTTCTGTTATTTAAATCATTTAATATTTCTATATTCAAAATGTTATATTTAAAATAGGGATGCGCCGATCCGATATTCATATCATATCCATTTTTCTCGGATCGGGTATCGATCAGAGAAAGCCGATCCAAATCCGAGATTTTTCTTTTCTTTTCTTTTTTTTTCTCTCCGATTGTTCGAATTATTCTGTGTTACTTCTGAAGCCATAAGATAGCTTAATGTGAGCTACATGTGAATATTTAAGTCCTTACATTAAAGTTCACAAACTTTCTCCGCTGTGGCTGTCAGTCATTCCTTCAGCCTTTAAACCCTGCTCGCGTTCGGTTACAGCAGTCAGCTCGGTAAAGCTCTCTCCAACATCATTCTGTGTTCCCATTATACTTGATTTGTAAATACATGTCTATGATTTTGCAAAAAGGACTTTATCTTCTTGCCGGAGTTTAATGTTGTTTTGTTACTTGCTACCGGGTGTCTGTGGCGTAGAAAAGACTATAAATAGTTTTTAATGTGCACAGTAACTGAAATTGAAAACTGTTAAAAGAAAGGCTCAATAACTGTTGCACAGATATAATACACTACGCATCAATTTCTCTTCTCTTTGTGCTTTGCACTTTGCACTTTTTAACACGAAAAATGTGCGCACATTGTTAGCGCTTCGTGCTCATAGACTGTCAACCCTCTACATTGTGAGTAAATCACTCTGGGCGACTAAATCTTCACTCTGGGCGACTAAATCTTCACTCTGGGCGACTAAATGATATCTAATATTAGCCAATGGCTAATCGATTCTCAGATTTTACTCGCCAGTGTGTGAGTTGGATGCTGAATATACGATTAGCACAGATATATTTTCACTCACAGAACACTCTGACTGAGCGCTTCAGAGTTTCACTCTCCATCAAGCGATCTGTGATGTTTTTCAGTTCATCTGAATGGATGCGCAGCGCACCTGTGTTTGTGTATTTGGCGTAATGTGTTTCTAGTGTGAAGCGCACGACTCGCCGTCGCTTTCTCTCACACGCGCAAAGAGCGAGAGCGAACGAGAGTCTTACATAACATCCAGAATTGATCCGCAACATGTAAACGATATACTTTGTTGTATTTTCCTGTAAAAATAACAGAGTTCCTTTGGAATTCTTCAGCTTTTAAGAACTGCCGGGTTTTCCTGTAGTAGACGGAACTAATGCACAAACGGCAATCTCATTGGCTGGCGCTCACCTATTATCGTCCCTGTTTTGATTTCAGCAAATCAGTTCGAGCGAACGCACACAACCCGATTAATATTCATGAATCCAGTAGCTCATTAATCCTTAGTGTGTTTTTATATTGTTCTTATTAGTAGAATTCGTATAATAATAATAATAATAATACTACTACTAATAATAATAATATCTTATCAGTATTATTGTTCGTTTTTTCACAAGAACACTGAATGACCAAAAAAAGCACCAGCACCAGTCCTAAGTTCATGGTTACCAAGTTTTAATTTTAATTACTAAACTTCTGTTTTTATTAGAAATGTTAAAAAGTTTATAAATACGTATTTTTTGAATTTGACATAAAAGATGACATACTTTTAATAAAGTTAGAAAAATGCCATTACAAAGGTAAAAACAAAATTCCCTGTAAATCACTTTAAGGAGTCAAATATCACCTCATAATAGGAAGGTTAATTTTTTATTACTGATTAGAAGGTGCTCCTAAATTTTTGACCGTGCTCCTAAATCTTTTAAATTAGAAGCACAAGCGCTCCTAAAAAGAAAGGTATGCGTAGAGCCCTGTCAGTCCAAAAGAAGTTAAATAAAAAGCGCCCATTAAAAAAAGTGTCTCACACGGCTCCGGGGGGTGAACAAAGGCCTCCTGTAGCGAATCGATGCGTTTTTGTTAGAAAAATATGCATTTTCAAAACGTAATAATCACTTTAATGTAGCTTGCGCCAACAGTCCTACACGGAAGCAGCTAATTTTAATTTTTGAGTGAACTTAACCCTTTAAAGGCACAATGTGTAATTTTCGCCGCTAGAGGACGCATATTCAAAATAAAGAGACAAAGTCATAGTTTGATGAAGCGGTGACTGAGTGTGGAATCATGGGAGTTGTGGTCATCATCTCCACAGCTGATACAATCCGACGGGACTGGAAATCATGTTCATGGACGAGCTAATGATTTATTAACGTAGTAGAATGAAGCAGGGTGAGGCTGAAAGCCGTCGAAGCGAAACGAGGCGCTGAACGAGCGTGACACACGACTCGAAAGCAGCAGAGCTTTTATTATGCCACAGTCAACCGCTTCCGCTCCTTCTCCACTGTAAAAAGTAATGAGTTGAACTTACTAGGAAAACCTGTGGAAACTGATTGCCTCAAATTTCTCAAGCAAATTAGTTTATCATTTTTGAGTTAATAAAACTTACTGTAACTTTGTATAGGTAACTTGTGTATATGTATAGGTTACCAGAAAACTTGAGTGTTGCTAACTCAATTTGACAAGTTCATCCAACTTAGAGATGTAAGTTAAGCTTGGTGCACAGAACTCAAACAAAATAGTTCTCTTAACAAGTCTGCTTTGTTCTCATTACTAGACAAATGTGTGGAAACAGATTGCCTTAAATTTCTCAAGTAAGCTGTACTCAAAACTTAAAGTTGTAAATACAAAGACAGAAAACAGATTGTTAGCACAACAATAGGGCATTTATTTGTTTAAAACAATGTTACTCCAGAAAAAAAAAAAAAAAAAAGACATTAAATCTGTTGTACAAAAAGACAAGACAAACTGAACAGTATGCCAGCTATACAATAATCTATTCTGAAACGGCTGCTTTGACATTTGAAAAGTGTAAAAAAAAAAACAAAACAACAACAGCATTTTGGCTCAATACTGACATATATATTCTCTTTTGTGTGATTTCTAAAGACTGACCACAAAACCATGATCAAGAGAGCACCCTCATAGGCCATGTCTTAAACGAGTGGTTTTCACGTCTCTATCACTCATATATTAGACTCTTTGTTTTTGTTCTCTTGCTTATCTGATTTCTTTATTTCTTTCAAACCTCCTTTTTGATTTTTATATTTCTTTCACTTACTTACCTTTATTCTTTTCTGTCCTTCCTTTCTGACTTCTTTCCTCTTTGTGTTGTTTCCTTTACTCTTCCTTCATCTAAATTGTCAGACTCCTTGTTACCTAATTTCTATTTTCTTTCTTCACATTAGTCAGTTTTGTAAAACTTTTATTAAATTGCTGTTAAATTGTGTACATTTCATGATTTCAATTAATTAGACATGCTTTTTGATCAATATTTTTTTAATTTAACCATTACAGCAGAGTCTGTAAAAAAACAGAATTCAGAAAAATTAAAACGGAAAAGACAGAATTCTGAAAAAATAAAAAAAAACAGTCTGAATTTGGGGAAAAAATAAAATGGATTTCATAAGGCATTTGTTGCTTGATAATAACACAAAACTTGATGCGCTGACTCATTTTGGGACTTTTTTTTTTTGGCAGAGAAAAAATCGCATGAAATATAAACTAAATATTAAAAAAAAAGTGTATATTGGTATAATATATTATTTTTATTATACATAAATGCAAGGCTGCACATATTTGATCAAAATCTCAGTAAAAACTGTAATATTGCAAAATATTATATGACAATAAAAATAACCGTTTTCTATCCTAATAGGCTATATTATAAAAATAAGTTTATTCCTGTGATGGCAAAGCTAAATATTCAGCAGAAATTACTCCAGTCTTCAGTGTCACATGATCCTTCAGAAATCATTGTAATGTGCTGATTTGGTGCTCAAAAAACATTTAACATTATTTGCCATTGAAGAAAACAGTTATGCAACTTACTATTTTTGTGGAAAGCATTTTTTCTGGATTTTTGATTCATAATATCATGTAATGGCTTGAACTTCATTTATTTGAAATATTTTTTTTGTAAGAAATGTCTGAAATATAAACTAAATATTAAAAAAAAAGTGTATATTGGTATAATATATTATTTTTATTATATATAAATGCAAGGCTGCACATATTTGATCAAAATCTCAGTAAAAACTGTAATATTGCAAAATATTATTACAATAAAAATAACCGTTTTCTATCCTAATAGGCTATATTATAAAAATAAGTTTATTCCTGTGATGGCAAAGCTAAATATTCAGCAGAAATTACTCCAGTCTTCAGTGTCACATGATCCTTCAGAAATCATTGTAATGTGCTGATTTGGTGCTCAAAAAACATTTAACATTATTTGCCATTGAAGAAAACAGTTATGCAACTTACTATTTTTGTGGAAAGCATTTTTTCTGGATTTTTGATTCATAATATCATGTAATGGCTTGAACTTCATTTATTTGAAATATTTTTTTTTGTAAGAAATGTCACTTTTGTTCAAATTAATGCATCCTTTCTAAATAAAAATATTAATTTATTTAAAAAAAAATCTTCTAACCCCAAACAACAGTGTATAGATTTATTATATATGTATACTTATTTACTGTATTTTGTGCGTATACATTAGACAGTCTTATGCAGACCACTTAAAACATTATTTCTGATTCATGGATTTATTATACACAGCATTTAAATGATATTTTATACTTTTAAATTAGTAGCCTGTTTATCCATGATCTGTTGATTTCAGTAGGTTTGTTTCGTCAGTCTTAGACAGAGTGGCCAAAAATGATTCAAATGTGTTGCAGCGCTTGATTCATTAACTAATTTGTGCATTATCTATAATTTCGAATTTGATGTTTTAAATATCTGCTGGTCTAATTACATCTTTATTAATACTGAAACTAATCCTACTTTTTTGTAGACTACTACATCCTGCCATTTGAAGAGCTCATTGATGATGCTGTCCTTTTAAAGTCTGCCCTTCTTTTTGCTCTTGCAGCTTCCTGACCTTCTTCAGACTCAGTAGCGCTGGAGCCTCCGGCGTATTTCATCCTCTTCCTCATCCATTGTGACTCCTCTCTCCTCTCTCCCTCTGCAAGACAGTCCATTTACACTTACAGGTAATCAGTTATCATATTCCTGCAGGTCAAGAACGGTCTACTTCTGACATTCAAATGTCCTTTTTCCAGTAAGACTACACTTGTGTCTGAGCAACCAGCCTATTTGTGCCTCGCGTGGCACAGTTCTGAGAAGTAATGTCCAAATAACAGGAAATTATATGAGAAATAAGACCACAGTTTCTAGATATAAAATCACAGTGGCATGTGTCCACATGTCAGGGCGTTCAGATCCAAGTTTTCTCATAGAAGCTTGTCCTAATTTGACTGGAAATGTGCAACTTGTCAAGTGACAGGGCTCCAGACTCATTCTTCCCACTGGTCGCTCTTTTGCGACTAACTTTCTCAGTTGGTCGCACGAGCACATGATTTGGTCGCAATTTTTTATTTTTTGCGCTACAACATGGGATTAATCAATGCATGCGGATGAACTTTTATCATTGTTTATAGTTATATGGAAACGAAAGTGGTTAACATTCAACCCGTTCTTTTTCATCAGTAGTATTATTTGTGATTTGATTTTGTGAACGTGAGTTCCTCTTTTGCTGTGTTATAAGCCGGGCTTCAGATGCTTTCACTTTCTAAATTGCGATCTTGCAACGTTTTACGAGAAAAGGTAATTGTCTGTTTTGCTTACATACATCTACACACTTTTCACTTTTTAAGACTAAAACAAAATATGGATTCATTGTTATTCTTAATTAAAAAGCACAACAACAATAAAAAAGTAGGATACAATGGCAAACTAGCTTACAAAACATTTATTAACAAAAACAAATAAGATGAGGCATGACAAACACCACATGCTGTATTATATACCGACTAATAAATGACAGAAAGTTTAGCAAACACTGAGGAATCAAATAAAAAAAAATAATAATAAAAGAGAGCCTCCATAGCGTATATTCATAGCTCCAAATTAACAGGTAAACAGCAAAGATAACAAGCTTTTCAAAATGAAAACAAAAAGAAAAGTAAAACTAAACTTGCTGACTGTGACAGTGCTTGCAAGTTTTTTTCCCCCCACAAGAATACCAACATTTTCACCCTCTCTGGTTTAAGAAGCGGCCTTTCACATTACTTTAGCTTGAAAACCATCCATCGTTTCCTCAATATGTGCGTAATTTGTCCTGCACACACCTTCGCACTCGTGCTGACGTGGCGAGTATAAACCAGGCAATTTGGTCGCAGTCTGGAGCCCTGAGTGATGTCTTTTTGCTGCCTTTTTGAGAACAAAATATAATTGGTTCCCTTGAATAATCTGCTGTCTCATTGGGGGTTCACTGGTATGTCAGGACTGCCTGGTGCCCTTGAGGATTGTGCATAGTAAAGATCTTGTCTCATTAGAATAAATAGAAAAATGAGAACTCCATTCCCAGTGCACAGGAGTGTGTGTGGCCACACAAACAGTACGTGTGTGAACATGTAGTGACAAATCAGATCTGATCTTGCTCTCACACTCCTCTTCTCCTCTGTAGACTGTTGGAATGACTACTAAACCTCATCCACCTCTGATGAAGAAACACAGTCAGACCGATCTGGTGAGCCGACTCAAAACACGCAAGATCCTGGGTGTCGGTGGAGAGGATGATGATGGAGAAGTGCATAGGTCAAAGGTCAGTCTTTGTATCTTGCATTATTGTGTCCTTATTCATTTCCTCTCCCAAGCTCCATGTGACTTGTATACCAACTTACACACGCTGACACGCATGTTAATGTTTTGCATTCATGATCATATTGTCAGTGTGTGTGATAAGAGCTGTAGAAAAACACACAATGCAATCTTTTGCTCATCTAATGCGCTTCCTCTGTTGTACTTTTATGAAGGATATTTCATTTAGATATTTAGCATTTTTTTAAATGTTGTTCTTTTTTTAATGTAGCCTGATTTTATTTTGGGTTCATTTTACCTGTTACTTCTTGAGGAGTATGTTGCCATTAGCTGGGTTTTACAAAATTCCTGTCCAAAAATCCAAAATGATCACATGCCAAATGTGAGTAAAAATTGGCCTGGTTGAATAAATAAAATGGTACTTGCCAGTAGACGATAAGATAATAATACATGGCAATGTCAGATTGTAAGAGCCACCTGACTGTTGCTGATGTAAGTGGCATGCAACATTTCAAGCAGACAGATACAAACTGTCTGCTAAAGAAAACATCTGTCATGACTTGTCTGTCTCGGTGCATCTGTGGATCTGAAGTTTTTTGTGATCAAAGATTTTGTGACCTGCAATTTTTGAAACACTTAAATAATCCATTTGCCATAAGAGAAAAAATATTTGTTACTTATCACCAGGGAAGTTTATTTGCAACTGTCAAATTAAGTCAGTTAAATTCAAGTTTATTTGTATAGCGCTTTTCATGATACAAATCGTTGCAAAGCAGCTTTACAGGAAATTAAGTTTCTACAATATATTTAGTAGTCGCTTATCAGTGGTGACTGTCAAATTGATGTACATATGGCAGAACTGTACGGTAAAATTCAGTTAATGATGTAATCAAACAGACGATGAACACTATTAACAGCAGTGATTACATGTTGCAATCAAACTTGTAGCAAAATTTGTTAGTTGATGTTGTATCAGGGTTGGCATCATCTGAGGTCCTCTGAGGGGTTGGCATCATCTCTTCTCAGGTGTTTGGTCATCTCAGGTTTTGTAGGGACTGGATCCAGACTGAAGCTTGTGTAAAGGCAGAAACAGAGAAACAAATAGAGACATAATTAGCGTAGCTGCTGTTCCAACCAAGCAAAAATGATTTGTTCAACCCAAGCTAAGAAATAATAATGTTCATTTGATCAGATATAACTGCAGTCTTGCACAATTGGTGGCTGACTAAATACTTTTTTGCCCCACTGTATATAATTGTCCATGTAGGCAGGAAATGAAAAACTGCTTAATAATGTGTGCAGAATTATTAGGCAGGTTTTCTACAGATGAAATGAGCCAAAAAAGAGATTTAACTCGGACTGAGAAGTCAAAAATGATTAAATCCCCATGAGAAATATTAAAAACTAATGCAATACAGAAATTTCAAAGTTAAGGCATGACCATTGGACAGCAAAATGCTCATTGGGTCAGAAAAAAAACAAGTGGAGAAGAAAAGACGCATGTTAACTGCAAAATAATTAAGAATTAATGTGAAGAATTAAGTGTGAAACCATCAGGAACCTTTTAGTCTCCAGTGACACCATTTTCCAGAACTGCAACCATGAGTCTTCAGAATTACAAGGTGACAGGTCCTCAGAGACCTTGCTTGGGTAAAAAATGACCCCTACTTAATAAGAATAACATTCTGAAGTGTTATGAAATACATGAAGACTATTTTTATAGGCTTTATGGACAGATAAGTTGAGAGTGACTCTTGAAGGACAGCACCACATCCTCTCGTACCACTGTTTGAAGAATTGATCTTCCAGAATCTGGCATTAAGTTTTAGGAGCTCATTTTTGTCAGTCTCTGCAAGACAGACTTTTCAGGATAGGAGATGGACTAAAACTGAACTCCCAAAACTTTCTGCAACATGGAGCTAAGGAGAAAATGTAGAACTTTAAAAATTGGAAAAACAGCTTAGTGAAAAGCGTTTACAGTTTAAAAGCAAATAGAAAGTCCTATTTTTTTTTGCAGATTTGCACATGTACAAGGTTTAAAATGTTCATGAAATATTTTCAAAAAATACTGACGTTTTGAGCAGCTACATGTTTGAGCCGCATTGCTAGGTCAAAGATGAAAAAATGGGATTTACAATAAGTCATTTACAAAATTATTGTTATATTTATTAAGGAGTAATGTCTCTTTTGAGTGAATGTGCAAATGTTGAATGTTAACAGGTTTTTACCATGTTATTATAACATTTAACCACTTTTTATTAATTAAAAAATTGAGAAATTCTTTCAAATTTAAATATTGTACAAGAACTACAGCAAAAAACAGTTTGATACATATTTTAGAAATTGTATTTGAATATTACCAGTACTGACTTCAATGGATTTCATTAAATTCCTTTGAACACAACTGCTCAAAACGGTCTCAATTTATGAAACCTACACATTCAAAACATTCAATTGAACATTGACATTTTTAATGTAAATGTTAAGTGTAAGTGAACTGTTAAGAAATTTAAGGTCTTTCATGACACTACATATGCTGTGGTGTGAATTTGATAGATGCTTGATATAAAATAAATGGTGCTTTAAAAAGTCCTTGAATCTGGTGTTCATGAAAGAGTGGGAACCCTGTTCTGTGCTATGGTGGGGCCTGAAACCTGACTGAAATTCTTCATAGAGATAATTTTTTTGCAAGGAGCAAATGAATGTTTTTAATCTTATTTTACACACACACACACACACACACATATATATATATATTTATATATACTAGTGCTGTGTTCAAAATATCGATACGACGATGTATCGTCACAGAGATTTGACGATACGAGTATCGATACAGCTGGCCCTGTATCGATATTGTGGCACGTGTGCAGCAGTGGACCGCGCTTAATTTGTTTAAAATTTTACAACGTGTAAAATTGAGTAGAAAAGTGCAAGGTTTCTAAAAAAGAATGAATAGAGCATATATAGGCAACAGCAAGGTTTAATCTGGCCGCAGAGGAACACAACTGGGTTGCCTGATATAAATAGACATAATCCCCAAAACAGAGCTTTACACTTGCGCAATACGGAAATATCTGCTAAATGTGCTACTTATCTTTGTTAACCTGGCAACCCTGTGCACGCGCGCTCTCTCTCCACTGAGGATAAACGCACTTGCTTTCTGAAAACATCGCTTAGCTTGCAGTTTAGCGATCTCCACTTCAATATTCTATTCTCAGAAAAGTGTAATTCATCAACTGTTCATTTACGACAGAGAGAGAGAGACAGAGAGACAGAGAGAGGCTGTGTATGTATGAATTACCACCGTTTTGCCGCGATTCTCTATTAACAGTGAAGCTGTGGCTTTAATTCCTTTAGAAACAATAATGTTACCAGCGAAAGATAATGTAGCTCGTGAGCGATTAAGCTATTTAGTTGATAAAACTGCGAGGCAGCGCTAAAAAGTTTGTTCCTGAATGTCTGAGTGCGGCCGCAGCGTGATCTGTGTGTGTGACTGAACTTTACACCAAACTGCTTCTGTTTCACACAAATGCTGGCACAGACGTGCATGTTCGGCTAGAGTCGCTTTGAACTCGTGTATCTTCGGAAGTGGAGCAGCACAGAAAGTTACAAAAAATTTTGTGCACACAGCCACGCGAAACAACGTCGCGCGCACTCAAAGCGAACTTGTGGATGCGTCGAGTATAAATCAGCCTTGAGCGTGTGTGCGTTAGATACAGTGAAGACAGCGTGTTAGTTTAGAACTCTTCTCATTTTTTTTTATTGCAGAGTTGCAGAGAGTTTGTGCAATAATAACCTACCAGCAATGTAAATGATTTTTTAAAATATATTAGAATGAGTACATTACAATATTACAATATTAGAACAAGTACATTATTATTTATGGGCTTAAAAATAAGATGCAAACAATCAGAATATTGTACCTGGTGGGGAGTGCACAATGTAAACATGAAACATATGCAATTACCTATATTGTACTGTGGTACAGTTCTGGAGGCCCTTCAT